GATCACTGTTTAGGTTTTGTGCTCTGCATTTTAACATCTTGGTGTTAGTATTTTGGCCACCCACCACATTTGGACATGCTGACAAATCGCCTAACCCTAACCTGTATACACACGACTTTTAACCTACCTTAATGTCGTTTTGTAGGGGAAACCAACTGACGTAGGCCAAAGCCTTTCTTGACTCGAAGTTAAACATTTAAACATGTGAGTCTGCAGAAACTTTGAACATTTGAATTCAGTCTTCTGGGTAGTCTCATAAATGTTTTGTGATAATGTACAGATGATAAATAATTACACAATTAACAGCTATTTAATCAGTATTTAATGTGAACACTAACCGAAAATGTGGCAGATATTCTATGTTTTAAAAATCTTATAGAAAATTAACATGCATATTCTGCTTTGCACGTCTGTGTGGGCTTTATTACAGTTTCTAATTGCTGCTTCGTACTCGTCTTGTTCGTCAGAGCTGACAAATGTATCGAGTGGATTATATAAGGTTTAGAAAAGCAAAGGTAAACCATTAATCATCTTAATATTAAAATCTCGTATCACTAGCTTCAAGCAGTTTAAAAAAATCTTTGAAAACAGAACATATTTAAGCTGAGACCATGGCATTACAACATCTATGTTTTAGAAATGTATCGTATATAAATAAGAAACCTGTTTAGTCTCTGTCTCCTGCATATTTGACCATTCATCTATACCCCTCCCTTCTCTCAACAATCCACCCCTCCATTAATCTTTCTAAACCCTGTGCTTGTCAGCAGTGATAGATGTGTGTGATAAGATATCTATATCATCTTTAGTGAATTAACAAGCCGTGACAGAGAGGGTCAAGGGGAAAATGGGGAGCTTTTCTAGGAAACTTTTTTGTTTCCCTTTTGGGTTTCTCTATTCTAACCCTGCTGCTGCGGTGCGGCACAGTGCACCGTATATGCAGACTGGTAACAAATTAAAGAAAAAGAAAACTTGAACTCTTAATCTCTACAGTGAGGGGGATCCTGTGGGTTGTGAAAATATGTTTTCGAATAGCAGACCTAATGGCGTTGTGCTTGTTCGTGGCATAAGGGTGTCTCTTCTTTCCCAGTCAATTCTCACTGGTGTAATGTGATCTTCTCATGAGTTCACACAGGAGCTGGTCCAAATACAAGCTACAAGAACAGAAAAAAATCAAACTACTTGTCCTGTCTTGTTTTAAAAAGTGAAAACTAAGTTGAATTCTCAAATACAAGATAACACTCTGTTGGCCTAAGGCAAAATAATTGGGATTCAAAGTCCACAGTGATCCTTTTGATAACCTTTTCAAAAAGGCTGGCCTTCTTTAATTCATGGACTACGTCCTGAGCCTGCGCCGCGCTTTACAGCCGGCTGCATTATGTGTTCATACTTGTTGTTGAAAGACCTCAAATTATTTTAGCAATTTATTAAATGAATGCGAGGAAACAATGTGACAGTGTGAATGATTCATCTGTTGTGAACTGTCACCAAAGTGTGCTGCTTCTGTAGCTTCACTTTCAATACAGTCAGACTCTCAGCTTCAGCTTTAATGCTTTGGTTCATTCTCACAGCTGCTGCAGAGAGAAAAAACAAAACACAAAAAGAGGAAAATCCACTATTTAATACCTCGTCATCAAGGTACAAGTCAGTGACATCGTGCTGAACGGGGAGGAGGATTTATCTGCTGTAAGTATTTTCCTGATACTGAAATATTGGGAAAAACTACACTGAAGTGCTGCTGTATTCTCCCTCCAAAGGGAGGAAGTATGTCATTGGCTCTGTTTGGTTATTTGCAGTCTAGTATCCACAGATATCATTTTCAAATGTTGTGTGATGGTAGACAGAAATAAAAGATCAAGTTAATTTGATTATTATTTAAGTTTGGTAAAAATTCGAATCAAGGTCACACCAAATGAAAAAATTTGCAAAACACTATATGTTAGCCGTATTTTATGGATCATCAAACTTCACAATAATATCAATACTTAGTTTATTGACATAATCGTAAAAATTTTCAATTTGAAGTATTTATTAAAGGATTAATAATTCATTTTGAAATATTGATTTATAAATAGTGTTTTTGTCTTAAATTAAATAAATAACAAATTACTTTAGTAATTAAAAAAAATAAACGAATAATTATAAGAGAATTCATAAATGAATTTACAAATGCATATTTTATTGCACAATTCATTATTTAAGTGCAGAATCCTTTATTTCGATGCGCGTGACTCTTAGGACATGAGTACGTTGGTCGGCATTTGACCTTGACATTCACTGTTGGTGCCCAAGGTCAAACCGGACCTTGAAAAATAATCTTCAAGAAACCGTATGTAGTGATATATCATTTGAAAGGGCATAGAGAGAGCTCTACAATACGTTTTTATTTTTCCAATACAATGCCCTGCAGCAACACAACACACTGACGTCATCATTTTGTAATAAAAACATCATAAACCATCCAAGTTTTAGTACAGCCTCTGCCCTTTGGGGAAAGCTGTGCTCTGTGAGCACTGTTGTTCGATGTCTGCGTTAATAAGCTTGCCATATGAATGTAAAAGGCTGTCAGTATAAAAAGGATTTGATATATTATTTTGCAACTTTTTTTTCACTTTGCTTACAATAAATGAAACAAAGTACATGAGTAATTACACCAGTTTCACTCAGGTCTCCCTGAATTTGTGTTGCTCTCTGCTGCAAGTGACAAGCCAAACAAATCCAATTACAAATGAAATTAGTTTCTTTTGATGTGATGACTGGTTATCGTGGTTATACCTTACAGAAAAATATTTCTGCATTTATACATAAATATGGCCTAAACACCACTGAGTTTTGTGAAACCCAGTTAAACAAGTTCAGTTAAACTAAACTGTGCTGAACATCCTCTGAAGGCTCTCCTTCAGAGATGGCTAATACTCCACATATCAAGGATCAAGTTAAGGTGGTTAACTGGGACGCCTCCTGGATGCCTGCTACGTGAGTCGTTTAAGCATGTCAAAGGTCAAATGTGTAGAGATTTAAAATGTTCCAGTGTTTGTGCAGGTCTAATATTTAGAGGCAGACTAATCCAGAGTCTGGAACCTGCAACAGACAAGGCCACCGTGAGATTTAAGCTTAGACCTTGGAACGGATATGAATCATTTTGAACCAGAGTTCATGTCTATTTCCAACGCAGATTCACTGAGCGCTCAACACAGACAGCATCGTCAGAAGGGAAGTTGATAAAATAAATTACAAATGTTGTATTGTTCGATACATATGCGTACCGAACCGAAAGCACTGTATCGAACGGTTCAATATCGATAAGAATATCGTTGCACCCCTAATATATATATATCCGATACCTGGGTGTCCACATCACTCAGGACCTGTCATGGTCCTGTCACATCAACACCCTGGTTAAGAAAGCCCGTCAGCGTCTTTTCTTCCTCAGAAGACTTAGAGACTTCCATCTGCCACAGCACCAAGCATGACAGACGAGATCTGCAAAGAGTGGTGCGCTCGGCCGAACGCATCATTCAATCAGAGCTCCTTGACCTGCTGTCCATCTACACCAAGCGGTGCAAGACCAAAGCTGGGAAGATTATGATGGACCTCTCCCATCCCAACAATGGACTCTTCTCACTGTTGAGGTCTGGGAAGCGCTTCCGCTCCCTTAAGGCCAAAACAGAGAGGATGAGGAGGAGCTTCTTCCCCCAGGCTATTCGGGCCCTGAACCAGGTGTAGGACTGGACTCTCCCACACACGTCACTATAAGACTGGACTCTCACACACACATCACATCACCACATGCACGCTGGTTTTTCTTTATGCACACTTCCTATAATTTAAAATCTTTATAATCTCTTTCTACTATTTGCACATTTTTTTACTGTAAATTTCTAAGTTAATTTGTAAACTTTTGTAGTAACCTGTAAATTGTAAATACTGCAAAACCACTGTCATTTAATGGTTGGGCATTGCACAGCTACAAGCATTTCACCCCCATGTCATACTGTGTATGGTTGTGTGTGTGTGACAAATAAAAATTTGAATTTGAATTTATACTACAATAACTGAAGCAGTTGTGCAGATTTGTTTCTGTTTGTTTCCTCCCGCTCCACCACACTATGCTGTCATTACAAATTTACACATAAACACATATTTCTAGAGGGCCTTACAGGGCTCAGTTTCTGATGTAGTGCCAACTGTCATATTGTACATTTTCAATTGAATAAACTGGCAGCATGCCACTCAACTGGCAAGCACAGGTGCACCATCTCACACCAAATGTCCACACAGGCGCACACACTCACCTGCAAGGCATAAAACTAATGTTCTGATATTGCAAACACACCTCAAAAAATGCTAATTTCCTACTAATTGACTAATTGTCAAATAATAAAATAGCAGCTTAAGCTATGATGAAACGTTTTGTAATCCATCGGTCATCTGTGTTTTGAATATTGATTGATTGATTAGTAAGAACAGGGGGCTTTTAATCATAAAATAAAATAGTGTTTATTTTTTTTCATTCAGACAGGAAACAGTGCTGCTTCTTGCCCTCGCTATGCAAATGGACCACATGTGTAGAGAGAGTCAGTCAGAAATTTATTCCCAGTTTGTTCCCATGAAATCCACAATGCAGCGGCAACCTCGTGGACCCTGCTGCAGGTCAGAGTCAGGCCAACGATATTTTGTTTGCATGCTGCTGAAATCCTTACTCTGTTTATTTAGTCTTACGAAGTAAATGTGCTGGGGCTGCAAGTGAAACTTCAAAATAAAGCCTGTGTTTTGTTGAGTGTGTTCACGTTGACCCAGCTCCCGTCTGGGGAGAAGAGCTGTGTTTATGTGATTCTCACAAACAATGCACCCATCTGAACCAGAAATAATTCTGAATCCTACTTTGTAAGAGAAACTAGGTTGTAGTTATTTTACTTCAGGGTTGATGCATTACAGTGCCAGGATACTGGTCAGAATGGAGTCAGACAGGCCTGTGCACTGACATGCATCCACATTACCTTAAAACGCATGTGTAGAATCCACTGTCTTCCAATTCAGCAGATCTGAACCAGATGGAGTCATCTTCTTTACTCAGCCTGTGACCCGAGAAGATGATGGGCTCCTAAAAGATACAATAAGTAGAAGATTATCCAATCTAACAGGACTCTTATAATATGTATTAATGGAATCAACGATACAGAGCATGTATCTATAATCAGTAACGACTTCCTCTTGACCAAGAATTGACAACGGTAATGTGGTTGCTATGAAAAAATGTTATATATTTTAATAATATACCAAGTATTACCTTGCCACTCAGATATGCTGTTCATAATTTACACACACACTGGACTTTCTGGACTTTGTTTTTGCACAACACTGAACACTATATTCTTCATTTCCGGTTAATACTTGTACAGCTGCTGTTATTGTGTATATATTTATTTATATTTAGATTTCTTCATACATTCTTATATAGTTCTATATTGTGTATTGTGTATTTTGTTGTACAGTTATTTTATTTTCAACTTTAATTTATATATTTTATCTTATTCTCCCAGTTAAATTTACCCTTCATTCTAATTTGTGTTGTACAGTTATTTCATTTTTAACCTTAATTTATATTTTATTCCTTCCTAGTTAAATTTACCCTTTTTAATTTTTCATATTTATTTCCTATCTTATTCATAGCCTTTTCCTTTTTTGTTTTCTTTAGGTCACGAGCAGTTGTCCAAGCATTTCACTACATATCGTACTGTGTATGACTGTGTACGTGACAAATAAAATTTGAATTTGAATTTGAATTTGAGACATTTTAATATACACAGGCTTATGGAAGTTAGTGATAAACACAAATGAGTGCACTTCTTTGATTTCTTCTTCACTCACATTTGTCCCTCACTACATGTTTATAAACAACTCTGCATTTAATCATTAGTTGTTATTAATCTTTGTCCTGTCTCCTTCCCTCACTCTCAACTCGTCGCAGCAGATTGGCCGCCCCTCCCTGAACCTGTTTCTCCAGGAGGTTTCTTCCTGTTATAAGGGAGTCTCTCTTTCCCACTGTGGCCAAGTGCTTGCTCATAGGGAGTTGTTTGATTGTGATTCGGTGCTATATAAATAAAATAAAAGATAAGTAAGAAATATACCTGTTATTTCAAATTTATGCTTACATATACCTATACTTATATAATAATTACAGTTATTATAATAATTGCCTCATCTTTCCTTCCACATCAGTTGTAGTTCAGACCAGTGACGCTCACCTCTGCATCGCCTTTGTTCTTGTACCAGATGAGGCGCAGCTTGGCGTTTGTGGCCATGGTGTAGTTGGTTCGGATGTAGCTGTAGAACAAGGCACATTTAACTCGAACAGGCTCACCAGCCAATACATGGTACTCCTTCAGATCCACAGACCAGTCAATGCATCCATCCACTGCGAGGGGGAACACAGAGAAGAGAAATATTGAGGACATACACCATTATACACCAAATACTGCAGGAGAGAGAAACACTGATTAAAACTCAAACAACACAGGAAGCGAAACATGAACATAAACAGCAAAAACAAAAATCCTCACTCAGCCAAGGGTTTATATAAGATATGTATAAGTAAAAACATAAAGAAAAATGCTTGACAGGAGAAAGAAACGAGGATGTGAGAGAGCCAGAGAGTGTGAGTGACAGGGATATTGTTTTATCTCATTTCTTTGGTAATATTATTCTTTACCTTCAAAGCAATAGAACATTGAATGTAAATTTTTTAACAGTTAGTCTCTTCTTTTGTTTCAGGGGAGGGAGGGGGGGCAACATAGTGGGAGATTAAACGAGTTACAAAAAAAAGTGTAGCATTTTTTTTCTTAAATGTTGACGGTACAAACACAGGAGGGTGTCAGAAATAAACTTCTTGTGAGAACAGACGAACAAAGTTCATTCCATTTTCTTTTGATTTCATCCCTACGACCAAATGTTTCTCTTCACTGTTATTTGTATGGAGTTTTTTTTCATACACCAAGTATGAAAAAAAAAGTATGGACTGCTTACTAAGTATTGCTTTAGTAATTGGAGAAAATGTGTGCGAGATAAAAAGACAGAAATTCAGAATATGAAACATGGAGGGAGAGGTCATGACCAAAGGAACAGATGAAAGAGGAAGTGTGCTGCGGCAGTGTTGGGGTGAGTCCAGGTCAACAAGAACGAACAGAAAACAACTTGTAGATGTGAGACAAGTTTGAGATGGCGAGATGTTAGAGGTCGAAAAAAAAAGACAAAGAGCTTGCCCTTCTGTTTTTTTCCTTTCCTCTCTGTCCCTCATTCCTCTCACTTCTTTTAGTTTTCCTTGTGGTCTGAGCCTCAGATAGCTGTGCTCTGTTTTAACTGTCACCCTCAGGCACTTGCCACAAGGCCTTCCCTCTGAATTAGAGACTGTAGCAATAAAGCCTCTGGTTCTGTCATCCACTTCAAAATACCTCTTCTGTCTCTCATCTGTACTCTCCCCCTCTTGTTTATTAGTGTTGTCATAAATAGCGCATGTATGCTAGTTGGATTAGAACAGACCATAAGCTCTGAATGGCATCTAAAATTTGGCTGTGATATCATCTTTTTTCCCCCCAGCAGTGGAACGATACCGTTGACCACAATATCACAGCATGACTTAAGTAAGGAAAATGGAATCTGGAGGAAAGTTGTTCAGATGAACATGTCCTCTACCCACAAACCAAGGAGGTCTGGCCCGGATCTAGTATCAAGCTGGCACTGCTGACTTCTGGCATGATAAGACGTATGCCATCCAGATATGGGCCAGGCCTGGCATAGATGGCACCGTTTATGTGATGGCATGCCATATCTGGCTCGATTGTGGTTAGCTTCATGAGCCCAGGCTCACAGAAAACAGGTCTGGCCCGGATCTGGCATCAAGCTGGCACTTCTGACTGACTGGTGTCATGGCAGGGTATATGTCAACCATATGTGTACCAGGTCTGGCAATGACGTCACTGTTTATGGCATGGCATGCCATATCTGGCTCGATTGTGGTTTGATTTATGCGGCCCAGGCCCGTAGAAAACAGGTCTTCCCTGGATCCGGCTGGTGCTTCTGACTGACTGGTGTCATGGCAGGGTGTATGTCAACCAGATGTGGATCAGGTCTGGCAATGAAGCACTATTTATGTTCCTGTTTTCCTATTTTAGCTAGAAGACCCAAATGCCATGTTGGAATACTATACTGCTATGGTAGCCAATGTTTCAAATGCAGGCTTGTGAGTGTAAACTTTATCCAAAGCCTAGTGACGGTTTACTCATCGTTGCCAGTGGGTGGCTGTAGCTCAGGAGTTGGAGCAAGTCACCTACTGGTCGCAAGGTTAGTAGTTCGATCCCTGGCTCTTCCAGTCTGCATGTCAACAGTGTCAATGTGTATGAATGTAGCTAGGAAGCACTCAGTTTAGAGAAAGTGTGTGATATTGAGAATGTGTTGTGTATAGCACTTTAAGTAATCTGGGCGAGTAGAAAAGCGCTGTATAAGAGTCAGTCCATTCACTGTCTGAACAGAGTTTCGTTATGTTACTTTTGCACTATTATGTTGTTATTACATGGCTTGATTAAGGTACACATTAGGCTGACATCTGGGGCCAGAGCTGAAACTGTTCTGGGCCAGCACAGGGCCAGCAGTGTGTCTACAACTGGCCCGTGGCTGCACACAACTTACACATGGCCCACATACTGCAAAGAATGACGGCCCTTTGGTGGCCCAGATCAGGTTTGCCAGAGGTAATCCACACATGGGCCAGGACAGGACCACCAGTGTATCTGCAACTTGCCTTGTGCTGGCCCATGTGTGGGCCACCTCTGGCAAACCAAATCTGGGCCACCAAAGGGTCATCATTCTTTGCGGTATGTGGGCCATGTGTAAGCACATTGAGTGGGCCTGATCTGAGTCTTACCAATTTTATTATGTGGGTATATTTTAATATGCACATCTGGGTTTAAGGTTTGGCTTTAGCTTAGCTAACACTGCTAGCATAATGGACAGGTTTTTGATGGGGCTCCCACCTCCCAAACAAAAGCATAGTCAAATATGCTTCCAAACCAACTTACCTTCCAAGCCAAAGACTAGAAGATATGATATCTTGCCTTTGGCTTCACCTGCGAAGATTTTCTTGTAAAACAAAGGTAAGCCTAGCAAAAAAAGTTTGGGAACCACTGGTCTGGTCTAACTCCAACTTACTTGTGATACAAAGTATCCCACGTCAAAAATACAACTGAATCAAATACAAACACGTCTGTCCCAGCAGCTTGTCATAACAGGAATATATATAATCATGGCTCAGTAGCATATTCACTGGCATTGGGCCATTGTTGGCAAAATTTGCTGGGTCTGTGCTTTTTGGACACAGGACACAGGTTGTGGATCGTTACATTGGCTAGCTCTATAAGTCAATGTAAACATGTTTTAGCACTCTGTATGATGTGTCAGGTGTAATTTGTGTTGAGTTAAGTCACTACCAAAGATTTAACGACTTTATTTGCACCAGTTTGCGGTTTAAAATTACAGCCACATACTTAACTGGTACATTTATAGATTTAGCAATATGCATTAAGTCATACTGTGGCAGGAGAGATTCAGCATCACTGCACACACACTCATGTACAGACACACGGCAGATTTATTACACACACGATCACTCATTCACCTTCTCAAATTAGTGCTCATCCTCATCTCCCACTACACATGCACCAACAGCAGTCATTTAATCAGTGACAAGCTTGACAGATAGTCATAAAAACTGTGCCGATCTGTCATGAAACACACAGTTTCACAGACTAAAACAACATTTTTTTCATGAGAAAGGTAAAAAGGCCTGAAATTCTGTGCGAGTGTGTGTGTGTGTGTCTGCGCAAATGTGTGTGTAAAAGAATTAAGTAATGAATTGGCCAGTCAGACTTGGTGGTTGTAAATTAATGAGCTGACACGAACTGAAGATGTTAGTGTAGTCCACTCAACACCTAACACACACACAGGATGCACCCAGGGCATCACATTAATAGAAAAATCACATTAGTTTGGTCGGCTGGACTAATGTGATTTGTTTGAGACAATGTTTAACACAGGTCAGACACACACACACACACACACACACACACACACACGAGAAAGGTGAGACCTGTGTTTCAGGTCATAACCAAAGAAAAATTCCAATAATCCATTTATCTTAGCGTGTACATGTGCTTATGCATATGTGTAAATATGTGCATGTGTGGGTGTATATATATTATATATATATACATATATATAATATAATATATATATATATATATATATATATATATATATATGCCACAGTAGAGAGAGAGAGAGAGAGAGGGGAGGAGTGTGTGAGTGAGTGAGTGAGTGTGTGAGTGAGTGAGTGAGTGAGTGAGTGAGTGAGTGTGTGTGTGTGTGTGTGTGTGTGTGTGTGTGTGTGTGTGTGTGAGTGCAGCTGTGTGTGTCTGTAGACATATTAAATGTGTGGGCGAGGTGTTAGCATGGGCAGATATATCATTCCCGTCAGTTGTATCTGCATACGGATGCTCCCAAACGGCAGAATGAAAATAACCCTGAATAAATGGCAAAGTTTCAGAGTCTGGAAAAGTGGAGAGAGTTTTGGGCAAATATACTCACATAGACACGCGCGCGCACACACGCATGGACAGAGTCCCAAACTGTCACGGCGAGTGAAGTGAGCCGTGTGGAGATAATGAAGTAGGATCCAAACGCAGGCACTTGTAAAGGTGTGAAGGTGGTTTATTGAAAGTAAAGTACAAAATAGAAAAACGGCAAACTGGACTGCAGACTATCTGAACTGGGAACAACTAAACTACAAAACACGAACCAGGACATGAACATGAAGAAGGATGGGCGGAGGTAAGTGATGACAGACAGCAGGAAGAACACACGGATGAAATACGATGGATGGACAGACAGACCAGCGACTACAACAACAGACGACACGACTTAAATACACTCAGAGAAACACAGGGAGATTACACACAGGTGGGAGTAATTAACGAGACGAGACAAGGGAGGTAAAACTGAATACACTCACATGAGACGCAGACCTTCACAATAAAACAGGAAACAAGAGCTCACTGCACAAGGACGCAGACCCGACACTGAGAGACAGACAGAATATAACACACGGAACGCAATACTAAATATGAGACACAAATCCTGAAACACGAATAAACAGAAACATGGAACTCTAATAATAATAATAATAATAGCATCTGAAAAACACAACAATCATTCAAAAATAACCAAACATCAGAACTCAAAATACTGGATTGAACCGACCCAGAACCGTGACACAAACCTATATACAGGCTGCACTTTTTTCCCTTTGGCAGAAACAATCATGTTCAACAACAAAAAATACAAAACATCAAATGTATTTCCCACTGA